CTCGTCGTACAGCCAGCCATCCAGCCAACCAGCCAGCCAGCAAATGTTGCATGTGCTGCTGCTGCTGCTGTTTGCTGTTGTGGCAGCAACATTTGCCGTTGGTATTATTATGATTATTGCATTGTTATTGGCTTTTTATTGCATCTGCAATTGTTCCTTGTCTTCCCGCTTAAAGCGGCAAAACTTGGGGGCCCTGGCATGCAAAAGTAGACCGACCATTAGTGTCATTCCCCCCCACCCCCCTCCACAATTGTTTACGTGCCCTGCCCGGGCGGCGCTGACAGGATGGGACACACACACACACACACACACTCTACACGAATTTCCATCATGGATTTTTGCCTGCTTGCCATTTGATTTTTTCCGCTCTTTTTTTTGTTTTTTTTGTGTTTTTGTGGTGGAGAGTTTGGCGGGACGGACCACCGTTTGCTGTTCTTTGGATGTTGTCGACCGACATTGTTGCGATATTGTCAGCGCATGTAGAAACACAAGCAACGGCGTTTTGTTGGCACAAGCGTGCCAGGCCAAACATATTTGTGCGGGGTGGGCTTCAGGAGGTATTTATTTTTTTTTTTGCGAGGGGGTCATGGCCCTATCATGGCTCTACCCGCCCTGTCGCTTACACAAAACGTGGCACTTGAACACGATTCTGTTTGGGCTGTCTCTCTCTCTCTCTCTCTCTCTGCCTCTCTGTTGTCTATGTTTTATTTTGTCAAACTTTTCGTATACTCTTGCCGGTGGGTATTAGAATTTTAACTAGAACTTCAGCAATGAAGGCAATGAAGCAGGAAAGACTAGAATATTTTATATACAGTCTTTGTGTTTATATAAAATGCTGACTGCCATTGAAAGGATCAAACAATTGCAAGTGTATCTAAAGCTTCGTCTGCCTCATCTACATTTCATCTCTTGTCTCTTGTTTTTTTGTTGTTTTTGTTGTTTTGCTAGCTTGGTTGTCCACTTTTATTGTTTTGTGGTCTGCATATTATATTTGGTCATTCCATGTTTTACCTATGTGATTTTTATACGTTTGTTGTTGTGGTATTGATTTTGGTTTTTATTTATTGCGGCTGTTTTGACCATTTTTGGGTTTGTGGGTTATTAGAAATGAAATGTTTGGAAATTATGTGAGTTCAACTCAAAAAGCAAAAGTCATTCCAAACGGGTTACGGGTTACGGTTTACGCGTTGAAGGCTCTGCCACAGCCAAAACTTTTCCAATATCAACTCATATGAAACAGTAAAAAGTTTCCCAATGGATTAGTAGCAGCCATTTGGAAGCATTTTTATTAAAGTATAAATCAAATAAGGGATTTTAATACTAGACTTTGATGAACTCGTTGATGATCTCACTGGGTGCCCGCATTCATCATCATCATCATCGTCTATCAGGCATTCGTTTTAGCCATCTCGGTAGCAGATCTAATTATTTGCATGCAATTTAGTTGGTCTTCTATCTGCGGGCGATAATCAGCAACGAGCGGCAACTTGTTTAGCATACGCAATTATGTATAAATTTATATCTTAAATGTATATGTATATATATATTTTTGATATTTTAGCTGTGTAATTTGGCATTCATGGCTGGTAAGCTCTGACTCTGGCTAATTGACACTTAACATGGCTTGAAGTATTTTGAAGTTAATTGTGTGTCGACGTCAACGATGTTTCTGTTTTCACCCCTGGGCTTCCTCTCTCCCCAACCCACATACGAGTACACATGTTCGTTTACCGAATTTTATGTGTGTGTTTGTGTATTTAAATTGCGTCGCTTGTTCGCTGGACGTAGCTGTCTGTGCCGCTTGCTACTGCATTTGATAGCCATTTCCATCGATACACCTGCGAAAACACACACAACATTTGGGGAACTACGCACAAGAAAAACAGAGTTGGGTTGGTTTGGGATTTCCAAGTAAAATCCCATAAAACAAACACCCAATTTAAATAGTTTAGCTTTTGTTTGCATTTATTTGAGCTATTTGGCATGTGTAAATTAGGCCTAAATCATATTATTTTTACTCAAAGTTCTATCTGCAAAAAGTTGTAATTTTAATGAAGTTTGCATGTCAAAAATAATATTTAGGAAAGTGTAAAGTCACGGGGCTAATTGATGATGAAATATTTTGATGTTAAACGGCTTAAACAATATATTTATTTGTCAATTTTATTTCCACATTGAATCAAAACAATTGGATTTTTGAGAGTTTTAATTGTGATGGAAGTGAGTTCTTAATTTGTTGCGAATTCTTGTATGTCAATGTTTTATTTGTTGGTTCAGATCCAAATTCGGGTAGCTCTTTTTTTTTTACCAAAATTGGTTGGAATATTTAGGTAATTTGAAACTATTTCTGTTCGACCAAAACCCCAAAAATATACTGCTCGTATTTCTCTATTTGTTCCATTTAAATCTCATGCCATATGTGAATCTAATCGAACATTTTTAAATTAAAATCTTTGTATGGACAACGAACTTCATTTAAATGAAGATTTTTGTGTTAAACAGAACATATTGCACATGTGGCAGTGGCCAAACTGTCAACAACTCGAGTACTTTTGTTCTTTATTTATTTTAAAATGTTGTTGCTGGTGCTGGAACGTTGCTCTTCAGTTTGGCGAGACGCTTTTGTGATATATATGTATATACTCGTATATTTCATGTTTTTTTTTTTTATTTTTTTATTTGGAGCTTGTTCCATTTTCGATTTCAATTGGAAATATATTTCGCAAAAACCCAAAAACAAAATATCGTAAAAAAACGAAATATTTAACAACTTTGTTTGGGCTACGGCTCCGGCTCCGACTCCTCCCGCCACTCGACGGTCGCCCATGTTGCCAGACAATTGCGACCAGCCAGTCGAGTGCATATAACTTGACAGTTTTGTTTTTTTGGGACTATCTGAATGGTAAGTTGATTTTATCAAGAGCGGGACAAAACCCGCAACGAATCGTTAAGGTTGAGTGTTTTAACACTTGGCGTGTGATAAAACATTTCACTCCAATTTGTCTGGTTAAGAATATAAATTATATTTGGGCTTCACTCGTACTCGTAGTTGAGTGGAAAATACTCGAGAGTTCGAGATTCATAGTTGATTCAAAGTCTGAAAGTGGTTCTGATGAGTGAATCAGTTGTGATTGATATGGCAGAGCTCTGAGTAGAATGCGGCTAAAATATAAAATATTTAAATGAATAAGTTGCATTTGAAATTCATCTAAAACTATTGTTAATTATTAATATAATGTAATGTTTATTGTTCTCTTAATTCTTGCCGCCTCAAAGAGGCAGAATAATGTTCTCCCATCTTTTAAACTCCCTTTTCTCCCTTACCTTTCCATTTAAATATTCAATCCTTGGTTAGATTCTCGTTTATTTACTGCTCCACTGCCAGACACTCTGTGTATTTCAGGTATTTCTGTCTACATTTTGCCAACATTTTGGCGCCGTTTCTTTCGTGGTGTGTCGAATGGAAATACCAATTCGAAAATGGATAAAATGGTCGCTCGCTCACGCTCTGCACTCTGCGCTGTGCATTGTGATTAGGGAAACAATTTTGCTCATTGCATGTGCAGAGATGCATAAATAATTGAAATGTTCGCATTAGTTTTTCATACAACAACTCGCATGTTGTCAGCTCAAAATTTCAATAAGCACTCTAATTGTTTTTAAGTGTTTTTCCAGCAGTAGCAGCAACAGCAGCAGCAGCAACAGCAACTCTGTGCAGCGCAAATGAGCCGTAATTGCATAATTCTAATTTAGCGTCGGGTTCCTAAGCACCAAAAACATGTTGACTACAATTTATGCACATGCATGAGTGACTGACTGTGTGTGTGTGTGTGTGTGTGTGTGTGTGTGTCGGGTGAGTGTCGCTATGTGAGTGGGTGGGTAAATATATATGAGTGTGTGTGCGAGTCGCTTATTCACTCATTTTACTTAATAACACACGGCGATTGCAGGCACAGGAGCGAGCACAGCGGATCCGGACACGGACACGGACTCAAAGTTGCAGTTACAATGGGTGTGGAAGAAGTGTGCGTGGTACTATGAGAGTATATGTATGTAGTTGTTGGGTTGACTGGTTGTCGGTTGTTCGGTTACCTGGCTGCCATAATTGAGGCAGGCAGCAAGGTGTCGCTGGGTGGGGCTGCCAGGCGTCGCAAAAGTTTAACGTCCTCTCGCACAAGGTGCCACAGATGGCAGCAAGTGGCGCAAAATGTTTCACTGGGCAAAGTTAAAGATCAGAACTGAGTGGGATACAAAGCATTCCATTAGCCCAACCAGCTACAAAGCTTTCATTGGATTAAATTAGCAAAAGTTTCACTTTTGTATTCATAATTCATAATATTTTGTGATGAGTGTTGCCTTTACTTCATTGTATTTAAATGTTAATCTTTAACAAGCCATGAGCAACCTTTAACCTTGATGCAATGATCGAACTTCATTTTCCAGCTTGATTTCTGCCGTCACCAGGTACCCAAAATGTCTGAAAAACATACACAGAATCGTATATGGATATAAATACACGAGCAGCTCTGTTTGGGTGTGTGTGTGTGTGCATTTAAATCCTTATTGCGACACCTGCACAAAGCAAATACCAATTAAAGGCTTTTCACATGCAGCCCCATGCCCCACATGACTCTGGTCTGCCTCTCCGGCTGGCAACCACACTGCCAACACACCGGACTGGCAGCGGGAAGCGGTGTGTGTGTGTGTGTGGGACAAGGAGCAGAGACCACACTCACATGCTATTAAGTTGCCACATCCCACCAACAGCCACATCCACATTCACATCCACACCCACTTGAACCCACACACGGCACTCGAGAACTGACAACAAACAAATTTACCCAACGAGTAGCTGACCGTGTCGTGCCAGACCAATTTATATGGCCGGGTCGGACAGTCGTCGTCGTCCAGCCAGCCAGCTCGAAACGAAGCGAAGGCCCAAGACCTTGCGATCGGCTTATTGAACGTCTCTGGGTGCAGGTCCAGCCAGCCAGCCAGTCATGCCTGGGCAAATAGATGTGGCGGCCAAGGGCCAGAGACATGGAGATGGACAGAGACAGAGCCGCAGTTGGCGCGAATTGGGTTGGATATTTGTAACCTACTTAAAGGATTACTGCGCCAATTGTACTCTGGTTGGTTTCTCCTACATTGCCAATTCCAGGTGAGTTTTATGTGTGTGGGGGGTGCAACATGAATCGAAATGAATCTGCCCCGATGCATCGGGTAGGCTTCATCCAACGGAACGCATCATCTGGCTGATTTGTGTGGTGCTCTCGGCCATGGGCTGCTACTATCTGATCGCCGATTACCAGCGCAGCTTTCCCATACGAGCCGTCAGCATTGTCTACGAGAGTTTGCCACCATTTTCCAACTGGAAGTTTCCCACTGTCAGCGTGTGCGAAGTTGTCTACAAATACGATCTGGGACCCGAAGTGGAGGACTATGTGAGAAGGTAAAAATACAGAGACACTCTCTGGTTTGTGGTTCAATTATATTGTGAGCACTTTTTTACATGGCTTGGGGCAGCTTGGGCAGAGACGTCGAGCTATCTTATAACTACGATGTGGAGACACATGTCTCGTTCATACTGTTTCCCCATCAATACCACGAGGGCACCATCAAATCGCATTGCACTAAAATCGAAAATTGTGACGATTGTGCCACCTGCCCGGAGACGGACTATCGTCAGTTTTTGACAAGGGTAAGTTGTCGTCTAAGGGTATTCTTTCCCCAAGGTATCCATGAATTTATAAGTGAAAATAGATCTTTCGATTTCTATTTATTCCATGTCACATTTATATTTTTTTCCTACCAGTATGGGGCCAACTGCTCGGACGTTTTTATCAATTGCAAGCTATCGAATCGGGAGTTTGACTGCTGCCAATACTTTCTGCCGCTGATCACGCCCTTCGGCCGTTGCTTTATGCTCAACTCGCTGCAGAACAATGTACGCGGCTCGGAGCACTGGCTGCCAAACATCCTGGAGCCCGGCAATGAGACGGCCCTGATGCAGCTGCTCACCCATCGCCCGGTGCAGGTGAATCTGCTCAACGAGGAGGATATACCGCACACGGCGCTGGCTGCTGTCGGGGTGAGTGTCACGGATCCGGGCCAGCACAAGACCATTCAGTTCAACATGGAGTCAATGGAGAACGACTTGGATGTGCACGAGATAGAGCCGAAGGCACGCAACTGCCTGTTCCCCGAGGAGGTGCTGCCGTTCAGTTTGTACAAGGCCTATAGCTTCAGCACCTGCATTACGGATTGCACGCGCCAGTTTCAGATGAAGATGTGCGGCTGTACTCCGTACATGATGAATCCCTTTGCTGATCCGCGTTATCCGGACTGCGATCTGGCCGGCTTGAACTGTTTGGAATCGCATTACATGGTCAAACCAGACGCCAGGCTGCTGCTGGGTACACATAATGGCAAGAGCAACTGCGATTGTCTGCCCTCCTGCAACGAGGGCGATATACGAGCCATTTACGAGTCAGTGTCCGAGTGAGTGTACAGCCATCTAAATGCATTTGTCTATCGTATCGTCAACATTCCTTTTGCCTTCCTCCAAATAGCTTCAATCACAGCAGCACTGCTCGTAATATAACGCTCTCCATGCCAGCCTTGCCCACGGATCAGTATCGCCGGCAGGCGCTGCGCACACGCTTAGACGTTGTCGTGTCCATGGGCGGTATGCTGGGCCTCTTTCTTGGCGCCAGCATTCTCAGTGGCATTGAATTTATCTACTATTTCACGGTGCGAGCGCTGAACAACGTGCTGCGGGTGCGTCTTGCCCGTGCGTAATTGGTCGACTGCCAGGATTTCAATGATGTTTCCAAAGGCAGAAATATGGCGACAGGCAAAGACGTGAGCGGGGAGAGTCTGGAAGAAAACAGAGAAACAATCGGTTGAGTTGGTTATGCCTTGACCTGCGACGCATGTGGCGTATGCGCAATTTAAAAATTTTATTAAATATTTGCTCGGCTTGGTCACTGCAATGCGCATTAAAAATGCAACCATGGCATGCAGGCGGGATGCCAAGGATACCATGGATACCAAGGATACCGAAAACGTGAATGCCACCAGCCACGAGCCACGAGCCACGGGCCAAGTGTGAAGCTGAAAATCAATGAAACTCACAATTTGCACAGTCAGCAAAAGGCCTCTTGGCGACAACTGCAATATATACATATACATATCTCTACGTGTATATTATGTATCTCTCTTTATGTATATGCACGCTTTTGGCTACCTCTCAGGCTTCATAAGAATTTCATTTTGGCTGGCTCGTCTTGCTTAGTTTTAAATATTTAAAATGCCATAACAATAGAAAAGTGCCCCCAGGAAGGCAAAAAAACAAAAAAAAACTCACTCAAAGGCAGAGTAAGAGAAATGTAATCACATTAATTCTTTGCCGGGTTTTTCCTTTTGGCAGTTGCCTTTGCCTTTTGCCCCTTTTGGCCCTTTTACGGCTTTTGTTACTTTGGTCACCTCCACAAAGGTTAATTAATTATGCTCTACGCCAATTAACGCCGAGATACGGCACGGAATGGGCCTAAGCTTTTACCATTTGGAAAACAGCCACAGAAATACGGTTGCACTTTGACGGAATTCACTTTGGCTAGCAGCGGCGCAAATGTGAAAAGAAATAATATTAATTAAATTATGTTTGCATAAGAAAAATATTTCTAATGCTTATTTCAGACATTAACCAAATTAATAAATATAATATAAATTTGCGTAAAGCTTACAAGAAATTTAGCAAGAAAAATAAATATTTTAATTTCACAAATATTATTATTAATAATTACTAATAATAACACTAGTCAACACGATTTTTCCTCAAGGAACAAAACCAACTTTTTATTAAAGATTTGGGGCTTAGAAATGGTTTAATGATATTTTTTTTTTTTTCTATGGCAGAACTTTTTTTTGAAAAATTTTTGAAAACTGGTATTTTTTTTTAAGCTTTTTTCAGAGGTAGCGATAGTTTTTTTCACATAACTTTAGTATCTTACGTCTGGTTGTAAAGAACTTTGCTATTTTGAAAAGGTAATTAAAACAGCTAGAAGTTAAGCCCAAATACTTTGTGATTTCAGCTTACTGATGATGATTTTTGTGCGGTATTTTTTACGAAATTTTGACTTTAAAAACTCAGGAAAAGTCGAAAAAAAATTATATCTTGTGTCCTCTATTTTTTTGTGTATAGGTGCGTTAATTTGGCGTCGTTTAAGGTATCGCTCATTAAAATCTATGGAGAGACTTTGGAGCTAAAATTCGTTAACTAAACCTAAAAAATGGAAAAAATGAACAAAAAATACCTTTTTGAAGGCGGCGGGCCCAACTGCCAATTGGGAACAAAGCAAACGAACAAGGGTTGTACATTTGGTACCTGATCGCGCTCCTTTGTTCCCAAGGAAGGGAAAAGCAGTGGCGCCTCCCAAGGGGACATCATTCAGCTGCAGATGGAAATACACAAATTATGAAAATGATTACGGGGAATCATAATCAGTGCCTCCTCCGAACTCACGTAAAACTGAGCTGTCAGCAGGCGATTTCCCTTCCAGCCAAAGTTCTTTTCGGGATCCTATGGAGAGGGGAAGAGTAATCCAAGTGAATGGATAGGATTCAATGTCAATACGTACATCCATAAAGTCGAAGTGCGGCTCGTACTGCCCACCAATCCCATAGTTCACCAGCTGCAAGGGCTCCGCACTGTCCGTGGTCAGTCCGGTTATGTCCTCCAGTCTCATTTTGATGTCCGCCAGCCAGGGATTGTTCTCGTACCACAGCCACGTGTTCTGGCTGGTGCGGATCTCCGACACGGTGGAGTTTCCGCTCTGGCCAATCTCCGAGCGCGTCACCTGCCCCTTTCCATGCTCGATGATCAGCTCAGATTCCTTGTCACTGAGCACATCGTGGAAATAGGCCACATGGGGGTCCACGCTCAGCTGTTCCACCTTGAAGGGCGAGAGGCGCTGATAGGGCACATTCCGGTGGCTCAACCAGCATCTTAGATCCCGCTGCTCTTTGGGGGACTGCCGCAGTTCTCCTCGACACACGCGCTGGTAAAGTTCTTGGCTCTCCTTCAGCTCAGGCTCTGGAGCAGGCGCCTGTGAAGGTTCTACTTTAATTCTGGGACTGTTGCTCCTCTCTCTGGCCAGCTGAGCCTCGTACACAATTTTGTTCTTCAAGGCCTCCTCATGGCCAGGTTCCGCATCCAGGATTTCGCTGTTCAGCTTGTACGCAAGCTTCTTGTTGCCCAATTGGCTAAAGGCAGGCGAGAGTTGCTCCAGGATCTGCACTTTAGTGATCTTGGGAAGCACAAATCCTGAAGGATCCCGATTCAGCCTGGTCCTTGCTTCCAGCAGCCACTCTGAGCCGTAGGAATACTCCTTCATCAGGCAAAAATGACGCCCAATCTCGTAGCAGTCACTGGCGCTAAGTGACACATTCACTTGGTGCTGTTCCGCGGCGGACAAGATTCCAGCCGCCAACTGCTTTGTGGGGAGTTTGTACATCTCCTGTAGGCGCCACAAGCCACGAACAGCTCCGAGCAAATCCTCCTTTGTCGGTTCCTGTATCTCGGCCTTTGCCAACCCCGCGCTCACCAAATTCTTGTAGTTCTCCAAGTTACTCGTCTCGAAGACCGGCTCGAAGACACTATGCTTCCAGTCGTGGGCAAGGCGTCTGATGGTGGTAAATGCATTCAGCGGGTTGCCAAAGTAGTCCTCGATGTCCCCGCGTTGGCTCTGCAACTTCTCCACATGAAGAAGAAACCTGAAAGTCCATTCCTCTGTTAGCATTCATTTCACACCGCTTCTGCCGCTTCTTTCCAACCTTTCGATGTTCTCCTGATTCTGCTGGGCTTTTTCCAAGTAATCTTCCAACCGTTCCACCAAGAAGGCCTCCAGATCCAGCAGCCGCTCTACTTCGCTGATGGCCGAATAGTAATCCCCGTGAACCAGGCCCAAGCCCACACTCACACTCACGAAGAGCACCCACAGAAGCGCTCTGACTCGGGACATTCTCACTGCTCTGTCTGTAGATCGCTACTGGCATCGATGGAAGATTGAACCGGAGAGACAGCGGCAGACAGCAGCTCGGCAAACATTGACACAGTTGGGTTTTTCTTTTTTGATGTTTCTGGATTGGGACTGGGACAAACACATTGTGGCCCGAGTATTCTTGTAGTAAATAACATTCAAAAATTTAATGGTAACCAAGTTGGAAAGTCTACAGTAGGTTATGGCTATCAAAGCGTGAAAAATGCATTTTCCGCTTGTTATTTGTGTTTGGAAACTCAAAAACAAACGTTTAGTATGCACGAACTTTTGAAAATGAGAAGAGTAAAGTGCTTCTTGTGCCTGATCTTCCTCTGGTTTCCTAGTGTGACTTTAGAGAATCTAGACAAGAACTATGCCATGTCCATATACGATTTGGGGGAGCTGCTGAACTACAATCAAGTGCTGGTCAACCACCTTGAGGATTACGCGGATAAGTTGCAGCAGAGGGTGGATCTGGTAGACAGGTGAGTGCCACTCCATGAGATTACCCCATTGATAGATCTCCTTTGGACCCTGCAGCTTTGTTGAGATCACGAAAGAGAAGATGACACAAGCCAAAGGGATAGATTCCGACCCTCTGTCCAGTTTTCCCCTCCTCCGACACATGCAATATGATTGGCCCAACATTCTGTGGCATCTAGAGCAGCGGCTGGGAGAAGGTCAGTGCTCCTGCAACCATTGAATAACCTTTTCACTAGGAGTCTTTGTCAACAGCTCAAGCTACGATTATTAGCCTTTTACACTCCGGATTGCCGACTGCCAAGGATTTGGACGAAACCCTCAATGGGTTGTACCGCATTCAGATGATTTACAATCTGAATGGCTCTGCTATGTCCAGGGGACTCCTCATGGGAGTTCAGCACAAGTGAGAAACAAGGAAAAAATCATTCGAACATAAGAAAAGTAGTCGTTTATTTGCAGTTACTCCCTCACCCCCTTTGAGGGCTATACCATCGCCAAGTATCTGGCGGAAGGAGGGGACTATGGCGGGGCAAAAGATTGGATCTCTGTAGCCTTGGATCTATACCTGGCGGATGGGGGGAACTGGGATTTGTATGAACAGCAGGGACTCTCTTCGGACAGCCTTTATGAGCTGTACGTTGAGGTGTTAGATAACTTGAGTGAGGACAAGGAAGTGCCTCTAGCCATGATGACGGAAGCCATAAAGAGGTATCCCGAGAATCACAAGTTGGAACGAGCTCTCACTAGGCTGGAAATGAGCAATCGTATTGGGGAAGAGCAGGAAACACAGAAACAGGTCAGTGGAGGAAAGAAAAGCAAAGAAAAGCCCGTAATCCGGAGGAATCTATCATGTAGGAGGCGGACGACCTGAGTACCTACTTTCGATGCTGTTCCAGAGAGTGCCGCCGAGGATCGCGACTGTACTGCCTCTACAATACCACAGCCAGGGCCTTCCTCCGCCTGGCGCCCTTGAAAATGGAGCTGCTGTCCCTCGAGCCCTATGTGGTGCTCTACCATGACGTGCTCTCCGACAGGGAAATGTTTGTACTAAAGTCGCTGGCAAAGAACGATTTGGTTCGAGCTGTAACCTACAATGAGACGGAAAAGAAGCATTCAGAAGATAGCCACCGCACCACTAAAGCTGGTTGGCTGAACCCTAGACACAAGATAATACGCAGGATGGGAATATTGACAGAGGACATGACCAACTTGGATCTCGAAGGATCGGAGGAGTTTCAGGTTCTCAACTACGGCATTGGCGGCCACTATGCCCCCCACGTGGACTACTTTGAGGTGAGTTCTAGATTCCTTGGAACAAAAAAACCCACACTGATTAAATTCAAATTAGGTCTCCGATCCTTACCTCCCCGACCGCATTGCCACACTCCTGTTTTATGTGAGTATGCTGTGGTTATTCTTTGGGAGAGATATCTCTGAATCTTCCCTTCATGCAGCTGAGTGATGTGCCTCTGGGGGGCGCTACATTTTTTCCCATGATCGACCTGTCGGTGATTCCTAAGAAGGGAACAGTCTTGATGTGGTACAACCTGGATCATAGAGGGCAGGGCATGGAAACGACATTTCATTCGGCTTGCCCAGTCGTCGTCGGCTCCAGATGGGGTAAGATCCGCTGCAACAGCGAAACAATATTGATTTTCACCCATGCAGTTCCCCCCGAACAGTTATGACCAAGTGGATAAATCAGCCTCCCCAACTTTTTCGACGACCCTGCCTAAGGGAGCACACTGAAAAAAAAGTAGCATAGTAAAAAGATGCACTCCCATATTTGAATTATGTAAACACGAGTTCTTAAATGCAAATATTAATATTATTTTTTAATTAATCATCATAATCTTGCGTTGATACTGAAATGGATGATTAAATACGAATTGCTTAGGCAGCAACAAAATAAATACCATTTATACTGTCATCTGTACATTTCGCCAGATATTTTATTTATTCTCACTCTTCCCATTCGTGGCCCATCGTTAAAGTGTTTTGTGCATGCACGTGCATGTTCGTGCGTGCATATTGTGTGAACCGGTAGCGAAGAGCAACAGCAGCAGCGACGTCGACGCCGTGACTCCAACGCATAATTGAGCAAGTGCTCTCTCACTCTGACTTGCAGTCGGTCGATCGCATATCGCTGCTAGACCAACATTGCCGGTCCCTAACTAAAACTAATCACAGTTTGGAGCGGCGGTGCTCGTGGCTTATTACACATATGTATAAACCTGGTATCTTAATCTAAAGAGAGTTTCTGTTCTATGATTTATACCAGCAGGTAGCATATCTCTCTATCCATTTCTATAAAGTATATTCTGAAGCTAGCACGTCTCTCCCTACTGCGATTAGTTATTGTCTAAGCAAAAAACCAGTTTCCAGCTCAATGAACCCCGGGCTTTCTTTGGGTGCGTGCGAAATCAGGTTTCGAATCAGAATCAGAGATAGAACCTCTGACATCTCTGGAATTATATAATATTCAGTCGCTCTTTAGCGCGGGGTCAAGTGATGTTGGTAGATTCAGTCAGCATTGAATCGCTTCGGGATGATGTTATGTTTGCTGTTGGTGGGTGCCCTGTGGCAGGTCCTTTTCCCTGGCTGTGGGGCCGAGTTCTACTCCTCCGTGCACGAGATGACCAAGGTCTTTGGCTACGAGCAGAAAATGCTGCAGCACATGCAAAAGTTTGTAGCCGATAATTATCGGCTACAAACTTTTGCATGTGCTGCAGCATTTTCTGCTTATAATTATAATTAATTATAATTAATAATATTAACAACAATAATTGTTCTTCTCTGATCACTCTGCTAGCTGCTTGAGACTTCCAGCCATGCTCCAATATTATACAAATAATATTAAATTTGAAATTAAATTTGAAATCTAATAAAAAATGTAAAAACCTTTTATTAATATGCACAAATTAAATATATATTATTATAATTATGATTGTTTCTCTTAATTGTTTATATTTGAAGTGGAATTCCGCTTGCAGGGTAACCAGGCTTTAATTAGGAAGGGACACAAGAAACCCGAAATAAAAATGTTCCACTGCCGCTTGGCGCCAACACATAAAAAATATTATCACATTTTCATACATATACAGACTTATATACATATATTAGTAAGCATATACTATATGCATGTAGTGCTCTCGTCTTTTATTCATTTCATTTGCCGGCGGGGTTCGCTGTGGCTTTCTTTTGGCTGGGCCTTTTACTTTGGCGCATTCGCATTCCCATTCACATTCACATTTATATTTATTGTGCATTTGTGTTTGGTTTATGATGGAAATCCCCTTAGCTCACTCAAAGGCTTTTCACACAATGTTGCGAGAGGTTACCCAATGGGGCGACCCGGGTGCAGTGAAAGTATTACATTCACGAAAAGGCAACACCAGGAGCACTGGCAATGGCAGTGGCAGCGGCAACAATGTTAACCGTATCTGTCCGGCAAAAGTTTTGTCGGGGACACTCAGCCAACATTTTGGGGGGGGGCGGCGTTGTATCATTTATCAAGCTCAGCGGGGTAGCACAAAAAAAAAAAACAAAAGCGAAAGCGAAAAATGAAAGCAAAGAGAGGAAGTGGCAAAACACCTAAAACAGAAATAAGGAAAGGAGAACATTTTTGTCATGTTAAACTGTCAGAGTGCGCATTTAGTCATTACTTACATTTTCAGTTCTTCCGCTGGCACTTGCTCTACTCTGACTCTCTCTCCCCTAAAACCCCTTCTCTACTTATCTCTCTTTCTCTTTGTCGCTGTCAGTCTTGCATGCAAATGCAGACACACACACACACGTACACTACAGTACAGTAACGCACCTACACATGTCACACACTTTTGCGAAATGTAATTAAAAGTTGGCATGCAAGTCTGCGGCTGCGACTGAGCTTGGCCATTAGCATAGCGCTGAAAAGTGTGCTATATATATATATATATATATATATATATAATTTAAACGGAGCACCGCATCGTCATTTATCAAAACGGCTCACAAAATGTTAATTATTATGTTTTATTGCCCCCCAAAAGTCAGTGCTGGAATTCGTTGTTTTCCTGGCTCTTTTTATGCGTGGAAGGGGGCTGCCCGCTTTTGTTTTTTTTTTGCCCGTGATTTGGCTCGACACTATGAAATATGCTGCCGGCATGTGGTCGCCTGACTGGGCCATCACACGAACTTAAATCATTCCAGACCAAGCGCCAGCATGCGAGTCTACAAAAATATATTATACACATACAATACTCGTATATAGTACGTGCATATAATAATTCTATAATACTTTCCGGTCATTGAATTCAGCGGCGCCAAAGTCAAGCATCACTGCGCGCAGAGTGGGGCGGGGCAGGAGTGGAATGGGGCAGCAGCCAGAATAAGTGCGAAATAATTAAAATTCAAATAACTTCATTAAAAATTGAACACGAGTGCCAGAGAATTGCAAGTAAGTGGGCAGCCTCTTGGCTGCATTTCAATTGCAACCATTGCAATTGCCAATAAGAAACGCTAAAATAAGCAATTGCCAGGCGTGTGCCCGTAAAAGAAATCCAATTGGAAGCAGGGCGGGCAGGGCGGATGAACCGAAGGAAAACTTTGCTTTTTCTTTCTGCTTTACCCGGCGAGCATAGAGGAAATGGTAACTATTTTTCAATTACCTTTTTCGCACGCACGTTTGCTTAGCATTCGTTTCCTTTGAGTGGGATATTTGCCAGGTGCAGGGTGCAGGCTGCCAGGGTACTGCCATGCCAGAGGTATGCTCTATCCAGACCAGTGCTGATGATGATCCCAGATGAGCTATGAACTGATTATAGTAGGCAACATCTGAGCTTCAATTATGCATGAACTTCACACAATATCTGTGAGATGAAAAGTGCTGCAAAATGGAGAATATCAATTTCGTTGGTATATACGTATACTTGCACAATATGTGTTATTTTTTGCCTCTTCGTTTTTCTGTTTATTTTTCCCGTTGAGCTCATCTCAATGCATGACTGTTGCAATGCCTTTCCTCAGACGCACACACATGGCCATGGTTGAGTGTGTTAAGTGTCTGTAGTTAGCAGTTTTTCAATCAGCAGGCCACGCCCACACAGCAACAACAACAGCAGCAGCGTTGGCATAGCGGAAATAGCTCTGAGATGCCCCAGCAAGCTTGGCTTAGTGTTAACAATTGCCTTCTCTGCAGGTTTCCTCTTCCTTCGACGTAGTTGTATTTTCTTCTTCTTCTTTTTAAATTTCCCCTAAGCGGAAATCTATTTAAATTGAATTCTATTCTTCGGCATTGCAATTCATGCCGAGGTGCATCCTTGTGTCTGTGTGCAGCAGTGGCATCAGCAATGGCAATGGCAATGGCAGCGAGCGGCTCTTTGCGCTCTTTGCGCTACTCTTCTTCTCGTTTGGTTGAAGTTTGAAAAGTTTTTCGCACAGCAGATCGCACACTTTACGCATTGAGAATTATATTAAATCCATGGCTTGCATTTCCATTTCAATGGATAATCATTATGAGTGGGAACTGCCTGATGCCTGCTGCTGCCTGCTGCTGCTGCCTGCTGCCTGTTTCTTCTTCAGCTTGAGCAGCTTTCAGCTGCTGGAGCTGCTGCTGACGGCACTTGCTGCCACTATCCGTGTATTGTTGCCATGCAAGCCATTTTGCAATGCACACACATGCTCTGGGGATATTATGCATTTTTCACACATTTATGTAGCTTTTGATTGTGCTCAGCGTAGGTGTAAATAGTTGCCTCTGGCATTTGCACAATGTTGCACACAGCACACAACACAACACACACATCGTATGAGTAATATTTATTCACGCTCTGCTTTTGTCTGCTCAGATGCATCTGAGCAAGCAGCAGCATCACAGCATCACATCCTGAGAAAAGATGAGCAAAAGTGGAGCAGCAACAGAAGCATTCAACATATGCCCGGCATAAACATAAGCAGGAAATTCATTTTTCATTTGTTTGCTTAAAAAGTTTCGAGTTCTGAGCAGAGCTGAGCTGAGCAGAGCGATGAAGATGTTGCTGGCCCCCCCCACCCCCACCCAACATCAGCATTATAAATATTCATCATGTGGCAGTGTGTTCGCTTATTATACACAAATTAAGGCAAAGCCAACGTTATTTTTTGGTTCTAGTATGAATATGCGGTGGTGCTGCAGGAGCAAAGCCGAACACCCGAAAACAAATTTGAAATTCCAACTAACGCCACGAACCCCCACCCCCAACCCGCCCCAACCGCGCCTCAAGTGTGGAAAGGCATTGCAATTCGCTTTGCCAAAGCAGTTCGACGTCCTTTCGAGCCTTGCCTGTTGTTCGGAACACACCATAAAACATCAGCTGTTTAACGCACGGCATTTTGCAAATTTATGTCTTCAAAAGAGTTGCACATGCACAGGCACAGGCACTGGCATCGTCACAGGCTCAGTCTCAGGCTCTACGCTGCCTCAATATACACATAGAAAACTTTATAATACGTGTATGCATATAACACAGTCGACGGGGTCCTTGAGACGAGCCGTCTACCGTCTGCCTGCTGGCTGCCGTGGCTGCCGTGGCTGCATGTGTTCGGCCAAAGTGCGCGACTTGTTTTGGCAAGTGTTTTTTGCGGGTCGCTGCTGTCGGATCGGGCCAGGCCAAAAGGAGTTGAACAGCAAGATGAAAACTTGGCAGGGGGCGGCGTATTTTGGCTTAAAGTGGCGCGGATTTGCTCTACCATAAGCTCGGTGAGTGCTCACCAAAAAAATATTGAATACTTCTGAATGTATTATCCAACTACTCGGCAAAGATATGCCAGCCAGAAACTTTGCAGCGGAATCTATTCTCCATTTGGGGGACTTTCAACCGGCAGCAGCAAGATCCATCTTTCTGTGAGTTTCGTTTTGAATTATCTGCCCAAATTGGCAAAAACTTTTTGGCATTTTTCCCATGGAACGAATTTTCA